GGCAGAAGATGAAAGCACCAGTTTTCAGTGGGGAAGAAGGGTGAGAAGACATAAGTATCTATCGGAAATACATTTTCAGTGTAGGCAAATTATAACTTCCAATATGGTACATTACCTCCTCTCACATAAATAGCTAGAATCCCACATTCAATAGGTGGAGGGACAGGTGCTAGGGAAAGAAATAAGCATCCTTCAAAAGCATCCAAAGGACACTCCCTAAGATGAGATAGTCAGATTCTAAGATGTGATGTGGGGGACTGCACCACTTCTGAACCAGGTATACTCTTCACCTAACATAGAAAGATGTTGCATATATGGTCAGAAAACAGAGGAGCACATCTAATTGGGAGAGAACTATGGCCGGAAAGTGATCCGAACGATGCAATATTTATTAAACTCAATCCCAGAACTTATAAAAGTGGGTAAAATTAAAAGGATATGTCACTAGGTTTAAAGTGGTTAGGGTGCAGCGGACCGTACACGGCAAGTCACCTACATCCAAAACCCAACAGCCAGGCAGTGACATCCAGTGACAGGATCATCCCACCAGCAAGTCGACTACAATCCAAAACTCAGGCCACCAGAAACAAACATGCATGTGGGGGTAGGAAAGAGGATCATACCAGTGGCAAGTCAATGGCAATTCAAAACCCAGCCATTCAGCGGGGATAGAAAAGAGGATCTTACCGTCTTCACCACAAGTTCATGAGACTGGCAGGAATCTAGTACGCCCCTACTCATGAACGGGGCACATAGGAATATGATAAATTGATAGATTGATCCAGGAACCCGATATTCAGTATCAAAAATATGTCTACATAATGTAAACCATCTCTCTCAAATGTGAAATTGACCAGAACCACCCCAAGTGTATTAACATCCTCAGAATAAGAAACACCGAGGGATAGCAGAAGAGAAAGAACCACAACAATCCTGAATTACCTCCACCAAGACCCACATTGATAGAATATAAATGAGGGAGAAATATAGATATATGTAATACATGTGTGAGGACTTATGTTGATTGGTTCTACTCTAAATCCAAAACCCAGCCACCGGTAACCAACATCCACGTGGGGGTAGGATGAGGGATCCCAATTGAAGGGGTGAGCTGCAATTTTGATGTCTCGCTCTCCCAATTGTTTTTATGTTTGATATTGGAGAATATCAAGTCATCTACACCAGCATAACACCACCACCATACTCTCAAATGAATGGTTTTATAATCACTTCAATTTTTTTATATATTTCATTAACCCATTCAGGAGGATGCCTCCACAGTCCACCACCACAGCAGCTTGGAACTGGAAAGTGGTAAGGACTCTCAAACTCCACTAGAAGAAAAGGGGGTAAAACAATGTGGAGAGTCCAGGGGAATGACAATATCTAAGTCAGTGCAATGGGTGATCATGTAACCCTATTTTTAAAACTGGACCATACCGATTTATTCAGTATAAACCATGGCAGGGATGGGCAGCTATCCCCTTATGCTTTACTCATGTAGTCCATGGGAAGGTACAGTCCAGGATGGGCAAACTTATGAAGCAATTCTATCACGAGGATAAAACAACAAGCGATCTTGTGGAACACGAGTACTGCCAAACAAGAAGTGCTAATTCAGTATAATTGAATAGAAGGAGTCATATGCAACACGAGAGTATGTCATGCTCTTATTGGTGGAGGGTTGATGCATGATGATTTGCATGAGAAACGCACTGGAATCAGTCAATTCCAATGTTGGGAGGTAGAAGGCTTGTGGCATGTGTAAAAAAATTTTTGCATATAGAGAGCAGCACTGGACGAGAATAGCTATTTATGTGAGTGGAGGTAATATATCATTAACCGCAAGAGCACTCAACTGATGAAACAATACATGATAATCATAAGTACATTTAATTAGCTATCTCATTACCAGGTTAATGTTTAGTTTTGTTCTAATTAGGTACCATGCTCTGGTTGGAAATGAATATTTTATTAAACACAAATATTAACTATAATTTCCTATAAAGTATGTAATTTATTATGATGTTATGTCTCAAAATACAAGATACCATGTTGTAATATCAAAACAACTGCTTGCATGGTAAAAGATAATGAAATTTGAAATGAAAATATACAAGAATGCTTGAAACACCTGGCTTAGAAATAGGTATGATGTGAATGGAGTGAAAGATGAAGAGGGACTACAGCAAATCAAAGATTGAAAAAATAATTTATTATTATTACTGACACACACCACCACTCCAGAAAAGTATATGTGAGATAAAACTCATTGTGGTGTAACAAGGGAAAGAATTTTTGATAAGCATGCTAAGATGCCCAAAGATCCAAAATATTGGTGTGAGATTCTGATTCCTGAAGAAAACAAGGAACCAAACAGACAATGTTTCCTCAAGACAGCACATCAACCCTCAAATCAGGAATCTGTGAAGAAGTGCAGATCTATATAAAGTTGTAATTTTCAGTAGTAATTGAGAGTAGATTGAAGAGAAGAAAAATCCCCCGACATAATGAACTGAAGATAAATGCTACTGACAAGTCAGATCTTACTGGAGGTTGCACGTGCGAGGAAGTCCAAAAGTAGATAACTGTGTAAAGTAAAGCTATCATCCCAAAAGTAAAACTGATGTCTTTAACAGTAATTGTTAAATACAGAAAAATATGAACATGAGATTCCAAGGCTTGCAATACCATAAGAACAGGTTGAAGTGTTCCTTGAACAGTAATGGTCCAAGTTTATAGATGTACCAAATACCGTGTTGGTACTAAATGAAACAGAATTGTAGATGAGCTACCCTAGAAATATAGTCAGCTGAGTGGTCAAATGAGTTTGTGTAAGTGTATGAATAGTTAAAAGGGTTAGAATGAGTCATGTCAAATTAAATTTTGAGTGAATGGAGAAAAAATCCTGCACAACAAGATTACTTGATGGAAAATGTATGTAGCCAAACCAAACTATCCCAGATAGCAAAAAGAAAGGATGATAGATGAATAGGAATATAAAGATAAGCATTCTATATAACAACTGACATCATACAATGGCTGTGACTAATAAACTTTTGTAACAACCTCATATATTTCTGTTGAAAATGGGGTCTTTCCATGAAAAGATAAATTGAGACAAGTGTCCAAACTCCAGACGTCCTTCTTGAAGCCACAAAAAGATGGGGGTAAAAACATGTAAAAGTGAGATAAAAATTTAACTGGCTTCTTTTTGAAGGTGAATCAAGACTTCCTGATCCATAATTTGAGAGAAACTGGATATGAAGGAAAAGGAATTGAAGGTTCTGTTGAGCTCAAGGATCACAAAGCCAAAGGTCCTACAAATTAATCATTGACCTGAGAAGACTCCCCTCACAACAAATAGCATCTGTGATTTGTCCAGAACAGTCACTGAGTGAACTGAGAAGACCCACCTTGCCTACTTCTACATTTGACCACTTGGTAGGGTAAGAAAGAATTAGAAGTAGCCGGCATTGAAAAGAAGCAGACAAGGCAAAATAATGAACTTTATCTACTGATCTTTCATGAGGAATGACTTCCAGAAGTTGAAATGCTAAAACCATAACCAGCTCTGGCTGGTATGCTGAGGAATGACTTCCAGAAGTTGAAATGCTAAAACCATAACCAGCTCTGGCTGTATGCTAAGGAATGACTTCCAGAAGTTGAAATGCTAAAACCATAACCAGCTCTGGCTGGTATGCTGAGGAATGACTTCCAGAAGTTAAAATGCTAAAACCATAACCAGCTCTGGCTGGTATGCTAAGGAATGACTTCCACAAGTTGAAATGCTAAAACCATAACCAGCTCTGGCTGGTATGCTAAGGAATGACTTCCACAAGTTGAAATGCTAAAACCATAACCAGCTCTGGCTGGTATGCTGATCCTGAATGGGATGGAAGTGCAGGTGAAAAATCCTGCAAAGACAAATGATAGAGGGAAAAAGCTCAACTGCAAAAATTAGATGAGAAGTCGAGTACCTTGCAGCACAGCACTGCGGGCTAAGGTTAACAGAATGTCAAAGGTAATAAATATGTTCTAATCCTTTTATTCAGGTAAAAATTGCATATGCCAATTGCTATAAACTTGTAGCACTTTGACCGTGTGTCCAACCACCCTAGTCAATTTCTAAAAATGTCAGCAATGACCCAAATATCAGAAGGTTCAAAATCTAAAAATTCAAGAATTGAATTATCAACATGCCATAAGTACCGTAAGGCTTAAGAGAATTAGCTTAAGATCTAATAATAGAATGTACCCAAGAAAACAAAAAAAGATTTTCCTAGTAAAAACTTCAGAATTAGGGCTAACTGACAAAATCCACTATTCAACAACAAAGGTGAATGGTCCAAAGCAAAAGGGCATCAAGCAAGGGTATTTCAGAACTTTGAGTCATATGGTTTCTGACAAAAAAATCTTTCAGTATTCCTATGTATTTGATCTTACATTTCTGAAGTGAAAAGTGGAAAAAATATTTGAAACACAGATAATTAATATCAAGTTCTGATCAAAGCAAGCTACTTACATAGATCACAACCAAAAAAAATTAACCCAGTAATTAGTTCATCTTCTCAAGCCTATCAAGTAAATAAACCAGCAAGAATTTATATTGAGACTGACCAGAGAAGTAAGCTTTCTCCTGTCATACGAGTAAGAAATCAAATGAAAAGTGTTTTAAATTGTGAAAAAAAAAACCTGATATGAAAGTCTTTAACAAGTATGGTCAGAGATACAAAAGAAAATGTTAAGATTATATATATTCTCATTAAGTGCAAGAGTTCTTTGTTTTACAGATTTTATTTTCATTTATTAGTATTACAAGTTTCTTAGGCAAGGATGTACATTATTTTATCATCAATGCTTGCTAACCACAATCTTTTAACATTTTTTTATACTATTATGACAAAAAAAACGTAACATTTGACTTGACTAACATAAGTGAAATAAGTTTGTGTAGTTGTTTGTTTGTTGTTATTTTAACAAAGATCTACCCAATGAGCTATCTGTGCTTTGTCCATCATGGAAATTAATCTCTGGATTTAAGCATTGTGAGTCTGTAAACTTACTACTGACCCACTGTGGGACATTCATGTAATTAGGAGTATTAATGTTAATTTGCCCTATAAAAGTAAAGCAAGTTTATAACAAATTTTATAGGGTTTAAATTATATCATTCTAAAAGCCGGAAATATCTTCATGGTATATTGAGCAGGTGAATTTAGTTGAGATAGGCAATTTATCGATGACCCAACAACTTGAACCTAAAATAACATATTGTTAATGCATTAACCAAAACAATTTTAGGTTTTACATAAATGTTAAAGGTATTAAGTTTAGTATATTATGACACAAGCAGTTTAACAAATTTATTTATAAGTCACATGTGTTGAGTTTCAGAGTAAATAGCAACCACATAAACATCTGCTATATTTGTAACAACCATAGCCTTTGGGTTGAGTTAGAAAACATTTACATGTTTAATTACATTTTCCATATTATTCAAAAATACCTCTTCACAATTTTATTAAAATTTGTTTATCCAATTTCACTAACAAATTCTAATAGAATAATTTCTATAAAAAATTCACACAATGAAAATCAATACAAATCTACATATAACCAACCCTATTTTATTTATCAAATGCAGTGCATAATGTATAGTACCTAACTCCAGTCTTAACTTCTGTAGATGAATATATTCAGCCAGTTATCAAGTGTCAAAATAACTGGCCACAAACCTTTATATGTATGTTTTAGTCTTTATCCAAAAGATATATGATATTCAGTTCATGATATATGTACACAACAGCTACAAAAGATCATTTGACAAAACATGAATCCTTTTGTATACAGTATTTAAACACCTTAATACTTTGTTTTCTAATCTAATTCTGATTATATTGTGAGCAGGCTACACGACTAGAGCAAGGTGTGCCCCGTGAATGAAATTGGCTTCCTTATTTTCTCTTCAGTTGGTATCTTTTGATTTTTTTACACAAATACACAAAGCATAATGTATACCTTTCAATATATTTTGCCCATATAATCAAATTTTTAGTCTGGTGTCATAAGATTTATTTAATTATACTAACCTAAAGGATGTACACTGATACTACTTCCTGTGTCAGTTTTGATGTAGTAATGTGTTGTATCCCAATTTCTACGCTGGTTTCGTTTGTCAGACTCATCTACATCTCCTGCTCCTTTGCAACTAATTTGAAATCTCTTACAGAAATGAGACCTACTTCCTGAAGAATTCACACAATACAGTTGTTTGAGTTTACACAAAACCCAAAAAATAAAAAAAAAGGAGAGAGTAAAATAAATTAAAAACATCTAGGATAAATGTACCAATGTTTATTAATTGATTCTGTATCAGTCTAATGAAAGAAATATTCATATTTAAATACTTGCATGACCTATTACCTCAATATAAACTTTTCTATTATGTTGACATTGTATCTCTGACATAATAATAATAATAATACCATTGGACAAAATAACATTCCCAACATTTTTAGTCTCTTATTGGCTGTGAATAATTAAAAGTAGGCTTGGGATATGCTCAAGTAACAAGAAAGATTCTACCACTAATTTTACTCAAGAATATATCATTAAATAAAAATAAATACTATGGGTATGTCTGCAGTGGTTTCATCTTTACAGAACAACTTTAGTGTGTGGTTCTTTCATATTTAGTTATTAGATAAACCATTTAAGATTTGGTAACCTTGATTATAAATTAAAGAACCATGTTTGGTCTCAAAGTTCTTTTTATAATAATGGAAAGCATATACACAGAGGAATACCTGTCTTAATTCTGTTTGACTTACTACATAAACATATGGGTTTTCTTGCAGTGATGTTGAGAAACAAGGTTATTACGAACATATAAAACAACATAACCCCAAATTACAATCTTGTAATTGGTTATAACTGATTTCACAAAATCATAATCAAACACGCGGTCATTTGACTCCGACAACTAATTTTTTATTATTCTGACCAGGGTTTGCAGTCGGTACCGGTAGCACTCAGTGTCCAGTACCTGTACTGGTACCAGATCGTCAGTACCAATACTGGTTTATATCATATGTTGACAATAATATCTGTTATCACATGTCCCATCTTCAGAGTTTTTACCGAACGCCTCCTCTGGTATTTCAGCTTTAATCTTCACAGTTTCTCATATTTCATGCTATTGTCGATTTTAATGGTGAGATTCAAAACTACCACATCAAATATGAGAAACTGGTGTCTCCCATTCTCTGGAACTTGGAAGAAAGTGTGAATGTGCTTAAATGACTGATTGCACGTTAGATAGATACGTGCATGATTAACCCTTAGTGTGCGGGCAGGTCAAACTGCACATCACAACATTTCAGTGAGTTACACTCAAAATGTACTTAAACTACTTAATTATCATGGTATACGAACAAACTTTACGTTAAACCATAGATAATAAATCAAATTTTAATACAAGTTTTAAGTTCTTAATTGTATAAGGAAATATTTAAAAACAGCTTCAAATTCCCTTAATGTGGGAATTTGAATATTTGTTCTTGAGCCACCTCCTCTTCTGGATTTTTTTGTCCACCCCCCCTAGAAAACTAGGAAAGGTAGCGTAAAATATTCTCTATACTTTGGTCATCAATATTCTGAAGCTATATTTTTATATTCTTCAATCTTATGGGGCTAAAGAGCAATCAATGAAAATTCAGAAACAACTTTCCACACCTACCTCTGAAATGCTCTAATTTACAATTTGCTAATAGATTTTTCTGAGGCCGACTCCCATTAAATCTATAACCAATAAAAAACCTAAATTTCAACTGGTTCATTGCCATAGTCTTCATACCATGTTGGTTTACAGATAATTGACACTTCAGTTTGGTGTGAAACAAATTTTCTCATGAGAACACACTGGGAAAAATAGTTGAATTTCTAACTGCTCAAGTCAATACCAGCAATCTGGTACCGCCAGTACTATTGCAAACCCTGAATCAGATGATTAATTGTCACACCAATAATACTGATGAGTTACTACATAAATAAATTGATAAAAATTATAATTCACCAACTTAATCCAGTTAACATTTTAACAGTTATTTTTCAGGCAATTTGCTAATATAGTGTCTCAACCACTACTATATCTGTCATATCCCAGCCAGCCTGATGAGTACTGGTATTGGATGAATAGCCAATATTGCTGACATTATTATTTATACATCCATCTCTGCTTTCACTCAGAAGTTCTTACTAATAATTATTCTCCACCCCATACTAAACTGCAGGGATTAATCATGCAATCCTCTAGCTAGGTATCTTGTAGATATAATATCACCATTAACAGGTAAAATATCCTTAAATGTTAAGAACTCAGCCTGCTTGGTTGAAATTATAAAAGCAGCTACTGTTACTTCACTAGATACAACAATCAACTTTTATGTACCCAACCCACACACCAGCATACCAACCCTTGAAACACTACAAATACTCCACCAACAGCTTGAAAGTAGCAGAACTCTCAAGGAATGCACCCATCTAACAATCACACACTAAAGAGGAGATTCAAGAATTCACGAATCACCTAAACTGATAATGTTCAGCAATGTAAAACACAAAGAAAATAGAATATAAACTTTCTTTCCTATACGTGATGGTTACCAAAACACAAAACTCGTATACTACAGGTATTCAGAGGATACCCACAGATATGGGTAAATACCTGGGCTATAAATCAACCAACAATAGTGTAAAGATAGGAGTTACATACCATCTAGTAATAAGACTGAATATTAATACCATGAAGAAGGAAGAAAAACACATCATCACAATATCCATTTGCAACAGGTACCCAAAACACTTGATAAAGAAGAAAACAAAAATAAACAACAATAACAAAATGAAAGAAAATTACAGATACACAATCATATTCCTCAATGCGAAAGGTCTTCCTAAAAACATACATAGGATGTGTGTATAAAGCCATATAGTATTCGTAAGCCACAATACACACCAAACCACCTAAAGACCCAATGGAGAACAGAAATACCAGTTACAACATCCCTCAAAACTGTGGATGTGGGCTCTGCCTTCTGCATCCTCCTAACTTATTAAACAATCAGCCAATGTAGCATAGAAATCATCAAAATGTGGATACCCATCTTGAAGTGCATTAGCTGATTACAGTCGTAACAAGGTAAACCCCAAACAAGTGAATAGCACACCAGCCTTTTTTGTCAAGAAGACCTGTGTTCAAATCCCAGCTACTACCACCACAGAAATAGTCCCTCCAAAAATTTCCCAATAGTTTACCACTGGTAGTATTGAATAAAACTAGTTCATAATTAGCATATAGTCTATATATATAAAAGAGGAAGTTTGTTTATTTGTTTATTTTGTTCGCTAGAGGAAACGAAACAGTTGAACTTACAAATTTTAAAATAACTTCATAATAACCAGTTTTTTACAAGAAATTTAATGGTGCTATTTATTTTGTACTTGGTGTAGTATTTAATGACGAAATTGACAATTAATGATTATTGCACCATTTTTTTGCAATAAACATACAAACATAAGAACGTTTTGCACATAGAAAAGTGTTATGGCGTGAGACACTCAGATCACTTTTTTTTAACAGTTTAACAGTTTTCTTTAAATAGTGCTA